GACCCTTGTTAGAGACGACTTTCAAGTCGGATTAATATAAACGAGAGAGGGAAAAATTCATAAACCTATGTTTCGGGCCGCTTAAATTACTCTTCATTATGCGTATTTCGCTATTAAAACACCGTGTCGCGCTCGCTGTCTTATTCGAAATTTTACCCCTTACACGTCGCCTTTCGCAAAAACATCCTTCGGGACGCTCCTTCCTCAAATAACTTTCTGGCGCCTTAAGGAGATTGTTTCGATTGTTCGAATAAATAAAAGCATTCGATTGCGTAGCCGTAATTTAATTAGCGCTCTAAAGGGTGGAAAGTGGAAAAAATGTTTTATCGGTAAAAAAAGATTTACCGTTGCGAGTGAAAAGGTTAAATAAAATAGGTCAGTAGGACTATAGAAACCACCACATATATGATAAGTAAAAACGTTTTTGTTTCACGCTCAACTAAAGTGACCGCCCTACTGTACTTGAGCCACTACGTAGATTAAGTTTAAAAATTATTAAAATATACCTCATTACTTCATTTTACATTGAGACCGATAACAATAACAAAATAGTCACACTAAATAAAATAAACGTCATACAACAATGAAATGTGCTTCAAACTAAGATTAAATTTAAATTAAAATTAAAGACAATTTCTATAAAACACAAATATAGCAGGCGACACAATTGGTACAATTCTCAGATACCTTGGTAACGACAGTATTTGGCACAATCGGTATAGAACTCGAGACACAATAGGTCAAAACAGTTAGTTCAATGGTTATATGTATAATTACCGTAACAGTCAAAATCAAATCAAAAATGTATGTTATCAAAAAGGCACTATTTCGGATGATCAAATTATAAAACACTTGTCTACCGCTTGCAAATATCTTTGTATTTGATAGTAACACATTATACAATCTGGGTGAAAAGTATTCACACAAACGTTGTCCTTGTGTTTTTTGTGTTATGGTTAGATAAGTAGCTTTATTGTGAGTATTGTATGATTTGTACTAATGAAGGTAATTCTGTTCAATGCCTTTTCTAAAAATTATTATAATGTACCCATTTTGCCAGATATTTAAGTGTTTTAAATACGCAAACTTAGATATCATGCGCCTATTAGAAACCTTTTTTATGTGAATATTCCACCTAAGATGTCTATCCAATATTATACCAAGATACTTAAATGAAGACACCTCCAAAATTCCACCATCCAGATTACCTAACTTTAAAAGCTTATTTTGGTAGGATGTGAAAGGCATATATTTTGTTTCAACCGTATTCAAAATATCGATGTTATACTCGTACCAGACTTTTAGCGTTTTTAGATCGTCCTCCATTAGTTGCCTCAGAGATGGCCAAGTACGTGCCCGACAAAATATCACCGGTCATTTGCAAAACTAATCACGGTTCCATTTGTTTTCAAATTTAGCATATCATTTACATACACTGAAAAAAAAAAACAGGACCACGAACAGTACCATGTGGAACGCCATATTGCACCGTCCTTGGCACCATCTCTTCGAACTCTACACCCTGTAGTCTACGAGACAGATAACTTTTTATAATATGAAATCTTCTACCTCTTAATTTGTACTTCTCGAGCTATAAATGTACACATTCAAGGGGTACTTCAATCAGGAGATTCATAAATTTTTGTTGATAAATATTTAATAACGTCTTTTGTTGAAAGGCCCCTTCTAAAACCATACTACAGACAAGTCAGGAATGCTCCTGAATTTTTGGAAGAAATTGATTATTGTGTTTTTTTTAACTTTTCAAGAATTTTAGAGAAAACTGAAAGTACGGATATTGGTCGATAATAGCTATCCATATTTGCCAAAGAAAAATACTACAATGAAATTCGCTAAAAACAACATAATGAAATTAGCTGTTTCTTAGTAATTAGTCCTTTCTAACTTGGTCCTTGATTATTTTTTCTTGTATTTTGATTATTTCTAGTACCTGATTTTGTGCTTCTAGCTCTAGGCGTAGATAGCGGATGATGTCGAATATTTGATTTCTTTCTCTGTGGTTGTTTGTATATATTCTCCAAATACTCGTCGTTGTCTTCACTTTTTTTTGTTTATTGTTGGTGTTGCACTATTATTTGAAAACAGTTGTTGTTTGTCCATTCATAGGAACTCCGGAAATTCTGGTTTATCGGAACGTCTTAAGGTCTCCACGCTAAAGTATCCACCATTCACTATTAATTCGGTTTTATTAATTTTGGTCAAATATTGTTTTTCTTTTGCAATATTCAACGGTTTGTACAATAGTTTCCGATCTTATCTTTGCTTGTTTGTGTATTTCAATTTTTTGGCATTTTTAATAATATTTATTTTAGTTATTTCACTAGAAAATTTCACAATCGTCGCTCTAATTCTGTCTGGCTTCTTTTGGCCTATTCGGTAGCAGTTGTCTATATTCGATTTGTCGAATTATGCATCACGCTTCTGCACAAAAAACTCCAATACAACATCCTCCAAGTTTTTGCTTTCTATCTCACCAAGTCCAATTATTATTACATTTTTTCTTTTGAATGCTTTTTACTGTAAAGTGATCTTGTCCTTTCTACTCTACATTTTAAACTGTTTATTTCTTCTTTGTATGTCCTAGCACAATTTTCATTTTCCCTAGATATATTGAGATGCGGTTTTCACGACTATCTAACGAAGTAAAAAAATCATATCGTTGCATTTAATTCTTCTTTATTCAGAAATTTTAGGTTTCAAAACAATTAAACTAATTCCTGACACTATAAATATGGAACCGTCAATGCAACTCAAACTGATTACTGTTAAGATGGTCCAAGTTGAATACAAAATGAGCATTACAAAACTTGATCTAAAATTTGGATAACAATGGCAAATTAAATCTTGAAAATTCGTTATTCGGAAACGATTACATCGATGGGGATAATCGAAATTCGACCTGTAATTATTTGCAAGTTGACCGCGCTGTCACCGTAAAATTACGGTCGGCGCCGGGCGTAGGCGTCGGGTCAAATGGCGATTTTTGGAGTACCTGCCGCATACGCGGACATAACGATATGATCAAATGCGTAATGAGCATTGGACCAACTAAAACGCGCATCGGATCCATGTGGCCTTACCAATTAACTAACGGCTTAATTAATGGCGGATTTCGTACTGTCGATGAAAGCTCCGCACAAGCGGAAACGCCAAATAAATAAAACTTTGCCGATATAGATGTTTCGGACAGGGCGCACCAACACCTAAATTAATTACCGACCGACGTCGTTATATCGTTAGACGTCCAAATTTTGCGATAAATTTTGCGCCAACATTAATTTAATTAGTAATTGGATGCAAATTTGTGTGTTGATCGGTAATGACGTGCTATTTCCCCTAATCAGTTTTGTCTTAGATTCCTTATTGTTCTTAAAAAAATAATTTTTTTTTGGATTGGTCTGCTGTTATCTTGTGGGACTGCTTGGCTTTTTTTAGAATTAATTAAACCATAGATATATTATCAAAGGAGATACCATTGTTTCCATTTTCACGGACTGATGCAATGCTGTCAATGCGGGATAGCGCTAGGGTTTTCTATGGATTTAATACATTCCCGGTCTAAAACAATGACATTAACAAAGTGTCTTGCTAATATTTCATTAAACATAAAAAATAAAATGACAAATAGTTCTTTTTTAATGATATGATTTGTAGGAATTTCATTTTTTATGTGACAACGCTACAAATGGAGTTCACGTGCTTCTTGTACTACGTCAGCAATTGTTTAGTTTTTGTGAAAAAAAGTTACTTTCTAAATGTGAAATTGTCGAGAACATTTATTAAGAACTCGCTCCGCCCGCGCTAAATGAAACTCGCTACTAAAAAACCTTTTTTTACTCCCGTCTGCAAAATACCTAATTACTCATCGATCTAGCGTGCGGGAAGCGTCACTTTACCACGTCAGATTCTTTTCCCTCGAATCCGAGCCACTTCTGACATTTCCGGGATTTTACGGGTTTGGAAGCAATCGGATGTTTCCGGAGATATTTCTCACGCTTTGAATTTTGACATTTGTCAATTCTGACTGTCATGTCAGTGAATGTATTCGTGTTGTTTTGCGAAAATGTACCCAAAAACTAACGGTCATAGAAAAAGTATAGTATGCAACACGTTCGGTAAACTTTTTAACTCACTCGTTTATTAAACACTCGCTCCGCTCGTGTCAAATAAACTCGTGAGCCAAATGCCGTTTACCGCACTTGTTGCATAATATACTATTATGAACACATTTCGTACTATACGTTTTCTACAACCATTAGTTTTTGGGTATATTTTTGTCAAAGCAAACGTCAAATTACCAAGGCTATCTACCGAAAACATCCAACTACTCCGAAACACGTGACTAAACAAATTCTTGAAATCAAAATATCAAATACGTTACTAACGTGTTGTTTATGTTTGGTTAACATAAAGTTATATTGTGTATTTTAATTCATATATAGCTTTTTCAAAAATGCAACTTTGTTAATCAAAAAGTGTAAGTTTGATGCAGTTTCTATCATTTACCTCTACATTACCCCCGCTAATATGTCAAAATTTTCATTCAATTTATTTTATTTTATCCCACCATAACATGCTTATGAGTTCGAATCCCACCCTTGGGTGTTTATGTATAATACTGGATAATTTTCTTAATAACAACTGTCGATATTTTGGAAAATATACTTGACTCTTGCATAAAATTCATATTTTTTGCAAATCGACAATTCGACAATTTGAACTTTTAGGTGGTTAGACCATGAAATTGTTTATGGAGAATAAATCATAAATCTAATAATATAATAATAATAGTAACGATATGGTGCTGACTTAATTGAAGACACTATATAAGAATCGTTCCAAATCAATGTAAATATCTTAAAGTTTCTCATGTTTTCCTCGAAATTAATTTATAAGGATATATCTGGTTTTGAATGAACGCTCCTCAAATATGCAAACGAAGTATATCGTTCGGTCCAAAATTGATACTCTTGTTTCAGAGAAACGAGACACGGAAAAATATTCAGATTGGCGGGAGTTGTGGTACTCGAATTTCGAAGACTACAATCGCGCCGAGGCGGTGGTTGGTTTCGAAAATAACACCATCACGAACGTCACTGTGCAGTTAGGAGCCACTGCTTACCTACATTGTTATGTGAGAAGTACCGTCGATAGAGCATTGGCAGGAACAGAGGTGAGTTGCATAACTTTTACATATTTTTTTACCAAATCTTAAAGCAATTGGGTTAATTTAGAGTTCGATCTTCTTTGGGCAATTAAAATACTTTCAAAAACATTCAAATAGATAGGTAAGTAATTAATCGTTATAATTCTCTAAATGAAATGAGTGATATAAAATGCTTTATTTGACAGAAAATTGAGGATTAAAACTTCTGCAGCTAATAAGACACATAGCTTTTTACAAAATTAGGGAAGATATATTATAAATAATGGCAGCATAATCTTTATCAAGTTTCGGATATTTCTTGTTTGAACTATTTTGTTCAATTTACTAAACAAAATGGTGAAAGAAATTGAAATTACCACGGATTGGATTGTGAGAATCAAACTAGCTATGTTTCGTTTAAAAACGCGTTTATTTACTCTATACTATACGTTATCAATAATTATAATATGAATTTAACAGAAGACGGCAGGCAACTTAATCGATGCGAAAGCCACAAGAGCATACCGTGGTTACAATGTGTCAGAAGGAAGAAATGAGCCAGGAGAAGGGTACTTTAAGAAGCAATATTTACTAATAATATAACAAAAGTAATTGAGCCGAGGCTTTTGCCCAAATTAATAATAATGAAAGTTCAGCTGGCTTAGCAACTGAGGAAATTCACTAAAAACATTGAAATGAAAGGTGAGGTACCTCCTACGATTCAACAGTGAGGGAACCTTAAACATTAAACATTAGTCCCCTAGCCGGGTAGAAACCATTTACATGAAAGTGAAGAAATTTCAGAAACTTTCTCTGTACAGTCTGTTGTAACAGTCCTTTTTAAAATCTCTAGAATTTGTCCCTATGAATCCCAGCATTTTGAGTGCACCTCTACAGGCATCGTTGACATAATTTCTGAAGGAGAGTTTTGTGTCAAACGTTGCATCCAGGTCTCTAAAATTGTCATATTTTCTTAATAATATATTAACCAGACGGTAATTAAAAGTTATGATATCAGATTTGTTTGAAAATTCAGGGGTAGGTTATTAGAAGCATACCAAGAAGCAATAATCTTCAGATCATTCTGCAGATACACACAGTCTACCACACTATCAATTATTCTAAAAAATTTCACATCATCAGCAAAAAGCAGTCCATCCGGTCAAAGGCTTTTGAAAAGTCCGTGTATAGCAGATCCACCCGCCTCCCGTTGTCCAAAGCCTTGATAGTGAATTCTGTAAAGCAAGTCAAATTAATGATGGTGCTTCGACCTTTAAAGAAACCATGTTGTTTGTGGGTTATCAAGTGTTTAATATGGTTGAAAATACTATAATCCGGCGACATCTCCAAAGCCCTCGCAAAAGTCGATATTATCAATACAGGCCTGTAATTGGATATATCAGATGCTTTTCCCTTCTTTAGGACGAGAGTGACTCTAGCCTCCTTCCAGACATCTCTGAAGGTGTTCGTTGCTAGGGCCAAACAAGGAACTTTGCTCTTAATATAGTGTTATTAGTTAAGTGATCAGTAGTAATAAATCCATTAGAAAATACATTCAACTGAGGGATTTGTTGTCAAGGAGTCTTGTATACAACCCTCCCCTCCGCCAAAAAAAAACTTAGCGATAGCATTAACAGTCTCTTCAGGGCTGGTGTAACTCTCTTCCCTGTAAGTGACAATTCAGTATTTGAACGCTTAGATTTAATAAACGACCAGAAAGAAGTCGTATCCTCTGTGATTTTCGACCTTAAAGATGTAGTTTCTATATGCCACATCAATCATTCTTTTAATGTCCGCACGTATTTTTTTGTATTGGAATAAAACTGACTCTGATCTGTTGTATTTGTGTTTTGTGAATAACCTATGCTTACGCTTAATTGCTTTAATTATTTCGGATGTGATGATCTTATATGGATGTTTGGTAAAACTTGTCACAAAGCTGATTAACATTTTTATTACTTAGTAAATTTGACAAATCTGTATCAAGTATTTTGTTGTAAAGTTTGTGGAAATCTGCTCTACTGAAATTACATTTACATTGTTGTAAATTGGTTTAAAGACTTGCATTTTGAAAGTTGAGAGTCATACTAATATTCAACGCAGGATGGTATGGATCTTCCGCAACTAGTGGCATGGACTCTTTTGTGACTATACACTTGATATTGGACGCAACTAAATCAAGAAGTCTATTATGGCTACTTAAAACAATGTTAATTCTACCTAATAATCACTTTCACTATCTGTGCTAAATAGAAGTCATTGAAGTTGCCCAAAATAATGACTTCACTGTTGATAAACAAACCAATGTTAATTTCAAATTTCTCAAAAAAACTCACTAGGCCGAGTTTACGTATGCTAGGTGGTATTTAAAAATATAAATTTTTTGTGCAGCCCACCAGATCTACTATACTGATATTGTTCCTAATCATATTTAAATCTACAGGAGTTGCCCTAAAACCAGTTTTAACTGCTAATATGACGCTCCCACCATGCCAAAGACCAACACTTCGAAGGTCTTTATCACATCTGAAAACTGTGTATCCATTGTCAAACACACTCATTTGAAGAAGTCCACTGTTTTCGTATTGAGACCCCGCACATTTGGATAAACACACTGCACTTCCCTCCCTCGAAGACCAATAGGTCTGTTAGACAAGCTTTGCCAGTTTAAATTATTGCGAATAGTAACTATTCTCGGCGATCTATTGATATATTTAATCCTAAGGTTTGTCTCTCACTTAGTTCCATCCGAGTTGTTTTATTTTCTTCTTGGTGTTCTGTCGAAATTTATTGTAATATTTTTATACAAGTCGACTTTTTTCAACTCTTTGGATTGCCTGATTACAGGTGCTGCATCTACTAAGGAGTTCATAACAAGCTTCAATACTCGAGCAGACTTTAAATAAAATATCAGTCGCTAGTACAATTCATGGGTCTCTCTGGCTTGATCTTCTGAGGGAATGTATCCAACGGCATTAAAGATCATTACGTTGTTCTGCCTTCTCTTCCTATCAATGAACTCACGAACCGAAGCTCTCCTAATCTGAAGGCCATGAAACCATCAACTTCCGGTGGGAGTCTGTTTATTTCAATTTTAATTATTAATTTGTTCCTCGTACTTCCTCGGCAGTGAACTGTACTGTGCCTCCACTGCCGTCAACTTATCCATGATGTCCCTCAATGTGATGCTCTTCGCGACATTTTTGCAATAGGGTATATTATCAGACAGAGACACGTCACTGTCTTCACTACTAGAAGAAAGAATGTCTGCTTTTATTTTCATTTAACTTAATTCGGCTTCGGTCTGCTTCATTGTTCTATTGTTGCTGTTAAGTTCTGAGAATCTTTAAATAATTATTTAATTGTTACCTTCTGAAATGTCCTTTAAAACCTACTCCAAATAAAATTCCTCGCTCATATTTGAGTATTTTAATTAAGTATTCCGGGACATATACCAAAGCAAATGAACCAGAAAAGAAGTTAAAAATTAAGTATTCCTATATAAAAAATGAAAAGAAATTAGATTTGCACGAAATTCCTATAAAAACGATAAAAAAAAAGGAAAACAGTAAGCTAGAGAGGGCGTCAAAAGTATCCAAATAGCCACTCTATCGGCAGCAGAAAAAATCTTCACTAGCTTAGGACCAAATGAAATTTGTTTTAATAGGAGTTAAAAACACAATTTCAATAGTCTATAATAAAGGAAAATATATTCCAGAAAAGGGGAACGTTATTGTATTTCGGTTCTGGAGCATGGCGTCTTGGTACTTTCTTAGCATTAAAGGAGCACTAAAATAATTTTAATGCCTGTACTGCTCTCCCAGTATATGTTAATTCAAGTTGGTACAAGTTGGTTAGTTAATTCCGGCATTCTGCCCAGTGTCAGTTGCTTTCACTTTCTGGTGTACACTGGAATGTGAATCAAGACCCAACGCATTTGTATATTTTGAAGTCGAAATGGTAGCAGGTTGACTGCCAACATTTTATGAAAAAGGCGTCTAAATTTATTATTATCATGTTCTATACAACTCGAAGAAAGGAAAAAAATTACTTTCACTACCAAATTGTAATACTTCAATGTTGTAGTGTAAATGAGTAATCAGCATTTCCAGGAAAATAAAAGATAAAATGCTAGTAATTACGTAGAAATTTCTCAATTGTGTTCATTTAATAATTTTTGAAAATGATTAATTTTTAAACTTCAACGTTGCTTAAATTTTTTATGCTAGTTTGTAAGTTATTTAAAAGTGAAATAATGCTTGCATGCATTGGCGGAGCAACCGTTGCCTTTTGTCATATATTAAGGTTAGTTTATTTTACTGAAAAGGTATAAAAGAGATTTTCTACTTACTATTTTTGAATGTAGAATAGCAGAATGAAGAATTGCTAATTTGGAAGCATTAAATTCAGCGCTTATCCAAATGGTTTAAATCAGGATCCCTATATGTTGCTTGAGACAATACGAGAGATTAATTCCCGATTTTGGTTGAAAACTTCTTGTGCGTTACCAGTGTGAGTCCTTTGCATAATAATAGAGAGAGAACCCAAAAGACATTTTTCAAAATGTACCTTATATACAATGCAGAAAATACGCCTTAGGATACATTTGTTAATATTTGAGAGTAACCATTATAGATTAGAGATCGATGACAAATTAATAAAATTCAACATCAAGTTAAAAATTTGGTGATTGATGATGTCATACTCTTTCGAGTATTCCAAAAAGGCTAGTAGCGTCACCTTATCATCATCTATAGCCGTAAATATATGTAGCAACGCTATAGTACAGCTATGTCCTGTTTTATATCCTGATTAACTGACGGGGATAATCTTACCTCATTGTGTTTGCTAAAATGTTTTCCTTACCACCTATAACTGAGATATTAGTTGCTCAAAAAACTGGTGTAGGTGGAAATTCCACCTACAATAGAAATTAGTAGGTAGGGCAAACTTTTGGATCTACTGTACGCTTCTCCTCTGGGTCGAAATAGCTTTTGGGACAAACAAATTAATATAAGTACCACATA